TCGTATTGCATAATACAGTGTTTCTATTTTGTACAATACTAAGTTCACATATCATTATAATCATAATCAATGGCTTATTTACATATCTTATCAAATATAACATAATAATTCATTGCAAATATTTCTTATATCACATCGGAATATCATTTATCACTATTTATATACTATTTTATTTATTTATATACTATCTATAACTCAATTTTGACCAAGTTATTTTTAAACACACTCAAGAGTTTCCTTTTCGATGCATTCCGCTGGTAGTTTATTCCACGCGTTGATTATTCTATTGGTGATAAAATGTGCTCTTTGTCCAATCTTTGTTTTCTCTTTCCTCAATTTCATCTTGTGTCCCCGTAGTCTATCATCATTAGATCTTGTCAAGAGGGATTCTTGGCGTGGGATTTTGTATAGTCTATTCAAAATTTTGTTTCTACAAGATCAGTTCTAGTTTTTCTCCTACTCTTTTTTGTATTTTTTTCCAGACATTGTTTGACTTTTTCTTTTTATAATATGGGGAAAAAACTTTACTAGCATACTCCAAAATGGGTCAAACATATGTTGTGTAAATTTTTCCAACTGTGAGGCTGAGTAATTTGGAGAGTGTCTTTCTCATCATATACAGAGCACTGTTTGCTCGTCTGGCCACTACTGCAACTTGACATTCCCATTTCAGATCATGAGAAATTAATACGCCCAGATCGTTTTGTAGTACTGTGATGTCCAAGGTGTCATCTGCAATAGTGTAGGGTAGTCTAGAATTTTTCTTACCAATATGAAAGATTTTGCATTTTTTAGAATTCAGCGGAAGAAGCCACGCCTTTGACTAGTTTTCCATTGTCATCAAGTCCTTCTGTAAGGTTTCATAATAAGGTAATGGGTTTGCAAACAGTTTGGCATCATTTAGGGGAACTTTGTCGAAGGCTTTCGCATAGTCCAAATATCTCACATCCATGGGTTGCCCTTGGTCCAGTGCTTTAGTCCATACATCTAGTGAGCTGATCAGATTTGTGGTAGTTGACCTTCCAGGAACAAATCCATGTTGTTCTGTGGGGATAATATCATTTCTCTGTGCATGTTCTTGCAATCTTTGAACTATTTTCCTCTCCATAATTTTGCCCACAGTGCTGGTCAAGCTTATCTGTCGATAGTTTTCTCCTAATTGTTTGTCGCCTTTCATGAAGATAGGAGTAACTTCTGCAGTCTTCCATGCCAGAGGTATTTTCATGGTCTCTAGTGATTGTTTGAAGATTTCATTCCATTTTGGGGCTAGTTGTGTTGCACAGTTTCTCAGATATATTGTTGGAATATTATCAGGGCCAGGTGAAGAGTTAATATTCAGTCCTAGGCGAGTCTGAGCAGTCTCAGTATTTGTAAACTCAACACCTTCAACTATTTCAGAGGATCTTTTTTCAATACCTGGTAATTTGTCAGTAGTTTCGACTGTATATACCATTTCAAAGTAGTCTGCAAAAAGTTCTACGATTTCTTCTGGTTTGGGTATTTGAAGCCCATTATTTTGAATCGTATTTGATGGTCCTGTTTTACAAGAGGTCTGTTTCCGAATATACGTTTAAAACCTTTTGTTTCCATCCTGCACAACTTGTTTTTCTTCCAGATCTTATGTCGAACGTGAGTTCGTTCAAGATTCTTCTGTATTCCTCATAATATTTATATGCACCAGTTCTCTTGTATTGCTTCCAAGCTTGTCTTTTGGTTCTGATTTCCTTTTTCATTTTGTAAGTAATCCATGGTTAGCTAATATTTCTTTTCTTTCTATACCTTGGTGAGTGATTAGTCAGCAATTTTTTGAACATATCACAAAACTCCCCATACATTTCTTCATCTTTTTCTTGGGTTCGCAGATAGAGGGTCTTCTTTGTTCCAGTATTGTACCAAAGTCTGCTCTAAAGAAGTTCGATTTATCACTGGATCTTCCCGAGTGCTCATCTTTTTCTTGAGTTTCTACTTGAAAGGTTGTGACAATTAGCAGGTGATCACTCTGCCCGATACTTGGTCTCAGGATAGGAGGTGTGATAATATCATCTTCATTTACCAGCACTAGATCTAGAATCGAAGGTGTTTGGTTTCCTCAGTACCTTGTGGGTTTGTTGACTTTTTGACTTAGGTTAGTGTTGAAGAAACTCCCGTTCTATTTCTGTTTTGGAGGTGGCTCCATTTTTAGACCAATTTATGGAAGGGAAATTGAAATCCCCCATGATTATAGGTGGTTTGTCCATTTTGCATATTTTATTTATTTGTTCAAAAAGTTTAAGGTCTGTTTGGCTTGGTCTTGACTCAGTTGACGGTGGTATGTACATTCCTCCAATGATAAATTGTGTTCTTCCTATTCTCAGTTTCTGCCATAGTGTTTCTATATCGGGGAAATTTTAAATGTTTCTTAATTGTTGGTGTATGTGAAAAATAAATTCTATTACTATTAATGGTCTAAAAGTACAAAGTGAACTGCAATCAACCATCAAACTTTGAGATGTAACTTGTGAGTGGACGTAAGGCAAAAATGGTCCTACAAGTGTATACCTGAAAACACTTGGCGGATTTAGGAGAAAGGGAATAATCACACAGTAGTTGTGCCATCTTTTGGAATGCCAGTAGTCTTGGCAGACTCAACAATTTTCAATGCAGCCAAAGGCGAACAAAAGCAAAATAGGTTCGTTCAATAAGCCTAGGTGTAAAAGGAAACAAAGGTAAGGCTCACGAATGTTAAAATATTTTCATGAAAATTTAATAACAATGTAAGACCAGTTTTGTAATATCTATATCCAAACTGGCTCACAGTTTATGTAAAAGGCTTTAAAATTTTTTTAACAAACAAATGCTAACAATCCCTAGAAGATAAAAATAATTTTGCAAAAACAGTCAAGCCCATTTAGGAAGTTTAGATATTTCATTCACTTTACTTATATAACCATTCTCTTCTTTTCTCAACATACTGAGTAAATAATGTACCAGTGGTTGAACCTGACCATCATTTTCTGCCTCCTATGATCTGAAATGTGATAAGAAAACTGTATCTTATTATTTTGTCAGAAGAGTATTGTGAATGAAGAGAAACCGTGTTGTTCTAGTAAATACAAGGCAGTTATGTATTGTTGGCAGACTTTATTTATCCATTTTTGAATGGATGTTGTAAATCGATGCTATCTGCTGATAAGCAACGAAGTGTCTTTTATAGTGCAATATTTCTAACCGTGCCACTTGTAGGTATCAGCTGTTCAGAGTTTCATCTAATCGGGAGCTGGAATGTAGTGACATCACTATGGGGACATTAAAGCTGCTGTTTGGATGAAACCTCAACAGCTGATACTTGCCAGGTGTACGGTTAGAAAAATCACACTATAGAAACTGGATTGTTAAGTTGGCTTGACTAAAATTTCACTATCAGTTAGTTTCAAAACCTCAGTAGTGCCTGTTCTTGGCTGTTACCTTCATTCTTGTCTACATTTGTAAATTTTTCTCTATTTGAACTCCTGAAATAATGTTACAAGAAGAAACAATTAAAAGATTCAGAGCTTATTCATTATCTTTGATAATGGTATTACAAGACTTGTACTGTATCAGCAGGTTAACATATTTGATTCTGAGTGTTACGCTACATGATTAACTTCTGTGCCCTGAGCAATGTTGCAATTTTTAAAAACGTAAAAAAAGACAATTGTACACATCATTTTGAAAATGATAGCAATTAGTAGTTTTATTTTCCTCTTTAATTCTATATATTCTATATTCTTTATTCTTATATTATATACTTTTTTTTTTTTTTATAAACTCGGCAAACACAGTGAAATTCATTTAACTGTACTGGTGAGCAGTGATTATGAAATTTAGCTGATTTAAGGTTTTCTTTTGGCTATTGTGACTTTTCAAGTAAATTTAGCATTAGTGTGAAATTTTGCGAAACATTCAGGAACACACACAGCTGTATTACAAGGCTGACAGTAGTACCCTATTTCCTTTCTTACTAATTTTCTGTTGTTTTCCCTTGTTCCAAACAGATCTTGTGTCTTCTAGTTGGATTTTTTCTTTCTTTTTTTCTGTTGGAGGTGGTTTTTCTGGAAAATGTCGAAGAGAGAGTCTGCATGTACTTACTACTGCAGATGTCAAGCTGTTAAAAAATGCCAATGGATTCTGTTCGTTATTGTTGATACTGCTATCATGAAAATGTGAAAAAGTCTTTTCCCACCTTTTTAGAGTCTTTTTTATTGAAGTGGTAGTAGCTCATCATCTGATCGCCTCTATCAACCCCCAATTTATTCACATTGTAATCCAGTACAACATCTGGCTACAACTTGAACATTTCCAACTCTACATTTTACAGTGACATGGGGTGCAGTCATCTTATACTGTGTTGATAGCGTGTACACGTTCCACTACTCCACACTTCGTCTTTATGTTTCAAGTAGAAAATATGACTTTTATGCAGAAATGACATTTCCCTATTTTTCAAGTTTTTGGTTCACAATATCTTTATGCCTGTTTTTCAATAGAGTTCCAACATCTTGTTTTCATTTTCCAAAGTTCTTAAAAAACTGCAGGATTCAGATTAAACCGATTAGTCTATATTACATGACCCTCTTGCAGGTGATGTGAACAAAGCCATAGCAGCAATGATTTGACAAAATTGTTAACATTTGCCTGTTTTCCTATATATATTTCGCATTGCACATGTAACCTGTGAGGGCATCCCTTACGAAGTTGTTTTATTCCGAATTTCTCTGGTGCTTCATGTAAACACAAAATCCAACTCTCCCACGCAAAAGGGCAGATTTCTATGTGATGATGATTTTTTTTAAAGAGCAATACGCACTACAGCTGCGCCAGACTAAAACATTTTTCCCCCCGAAGTAAAACGTAAATAAAAATGAACGTAAACATGTTCAGTTATTTCAAAGGGTTGGCTGAAAAGAGCCTGATAAACACTTTATAATCTCCAATTATAAGCCAAATAATTGGCATAATCCTCTTCTCTCAGATAATGCTGTAAAGACTCAGCTCTCATAAGAAGCTAAAAAACTTGCAGACAGAAAATTTGTCATTTCCAAGTACCTGTGCTAGAAAGCTAGCAAGGTGAAGCCTTTGCAGGAGAACATGCTTCACGGTAAGATCTGTATCGCAACTATCGCAAGTGGGGGAGGGGTGGGGTCACCGCGGAGAAGATGTCTGTGGGAGAAATGACAATGAACAATCCAAAAGCTTGTCACAATTATCTCCTTGCGTCTTGACCCTCAAGATGAAGAGGGGCCAAGGTTTTATGGAATCCTTGATTCTCGTGACTTTAAAGTCTGAGTTCTGCCACTGTTTGGCATGCACTGAGAATACATTTGATAAACAGCTTGGTATTGTTTGTTGGGACTGTGAGGATGTTTACCTCAAATTTTCTTTGTGGCAAGCTTTGCTGCCTGGTCAGAAAGTTCGTTCCCTATTATTCCAAAGTGACTTATGATCCAAGAAAAAACCAAAGTATAATGACAAACCAGTAAATTATGAATTTGGTGTAGGATGATTTTTGTCAGAGAATCACAAGAAGAGAAGCAAGAGATAGATTCGAGAGAGCTTTTTGAATGACTGCAGATCACACCTTTTAATGTCATTTATTCAGCAAACATTAGTGCCTCAAAGAGTGCATATTTTTCTGCGGAATAAGCACTGACGAAGAGTCTAGTGGAAGACTCCCCATAGCACTGTGGCAGTAGAATGCACATCCTACATTACCATTCTAAGAGGAACTATCAGGGTACATGGAGGTAAAGCTGTAATACACGGATTTCGTCTCCTGGAATTCCGCCAGAAATGTACTGGGAGGAGTTGAGGACATCTGAAGGAAATTGCGACAAGGAGTTGTTATAGCATGAAAGAAGTAGAGATCTGAGTGGCAAGGGAGACTAAGTGGTCCAAGGTTGACCAGTGCTTTCAGAAACTACACTGAAAAGGTGTAAATAGATTCCTTTGCTCAAGAAGCCAGATCAGTTTGTTTACTATTCGTTCTAAAAGCTTGCACCCATAGCTTGTGAGCAAAATTGGGCGGTAACTTGAAAGGATTGTTGTGTTCCTTCTCGAGGGATTGGAATAACAATGGCTTTGTGCCAAATCCTTCGTAAGGAATCTTCTTTCTAAATCAGGGTGAAAATGTGGAGAAGTGGTGTTTAAGCATTTGATTATGTATCTGGTCTGGTTCTGAAGCAGAATCTTTTGCACAAGCGAGGGCATAGGAAAATTAATTCATGAAGAAAGGAGCATTGTAGTTTTCCTCCACACGACTTGAGAAATCTAGTATACAGTTCTCCATTCTTCTTTTGGTCTTCAGAAAGCTAGGAGAGTAGTGTATGGAGCTGGAGATATGCTAGTAGTGAGAGGCCAATTCTTCAACTACATCTTCTGGTGAGGTAATAAGATTTCCATTTACCAGAAGCCCTGAGGCAGATGAAGTCTTCCACCAATATGTTGAACTTTTCACCACACTACTTTAGGGGCAATGGCAAGAGAGTGATGAACCAGGACACAGACTTACTTTCGAGTATGGTCAATCTAGCTCTGGCTCGTGATCTTCTATAATTGATGAGATTATCCATGGTTGGGAACCTACTAAGCTTTGCCAAAGCTCGTTTCCAATCCCTCACTGTGTTGGCACACACTGCATTCTACCATGGGACAGAAAATGTCGTGGGTGACCCAATGACTTCGGGATGGCAATTGAGATCGCATAGAGAACGGCATCAGTAAAATGGATTACCATAACATCAATATTGTTTGGGCAGGTTTCCGATATCTGCATTTCTTTCCCGAAAGTTTCCCTCTCAACTCGGTGTATTAGCTAGCGAGGGGGACGAGCAAATTTTGGCTCCGGAATATTGAAATTGACCAGAATGGGGAAGTGGTCACTGCCATGCAGGTCGCTAAGGACAGTTCACAATGATGGTAGAGAGAGATGGACTTCAGAGTCAGATCAATGGACAAAAAAGTTTTTGAAGGAACAGAAAAATGTATGCTTTTGTCAGTTTTCAGAAGAATTAAGTTCTGGTTGTCAATAATATTTTCAAGTATATTGCCTCTCAAGCAGGTCCTAGTACCATCCTAGGCGGGTTTGTGGTCATTTAAGTCCCCCACAATAGTAAAAGGGGTGGGTAACTGAGATAACATATCTTCAAGTTCCTCTTGCGACATGACTTGGCCAGGCGGGATACAGACGTTGCAAATAGTTATTGATATAGTGCGGAAGTTCACACAAACAAGATGTCTGAAGGGTGGTTCGTACGTCTATTTCTTTGGACACCAAGGGTCTGTGACTAATGTTACAACTTCACCATGTGCCCGGAGGGCACAGAGAGGGAATGCTCAGGAAGAAGATGTGTTTCCTGCAGGCAGATGACAAGTCTATGCAGAGACATTATCAGCTTTAATACATCGAAATGGGTGCAAAAGCCATTCAGGTTCCACGAGAGGAGAGCCATGACTTTCCGATGTCAAGTTTCTTACTTTAGGGGAATCCACTTTTTCCGTTTATGCCCCAAAGTGGCAACTATCCACCCCGGCTGAAGTTAGCTCAGAGGCAGATTCCCCCTGAGCACTGCTCAAAGAGCTAAGAGATCGCTCAGAGCAAGTCTCAGGAGTCTGGTTAGGAGGTCGGAGTTTGAAGGAACAATCTTTTTTAAGTTTGTCTGGATGGCCAAATGACATTGGCCTTCATGCGGGGCTGAGAAGTGGATTCCAAATAAGACTTTGCCACTTAGACAATTAATATTTGGATGGGACTATTATCTTTCCACTTATCAGATGTGATGTCTCTTCAGGGAAGTGTACTGGAGACACCACTGCAGAAATGAGCAACTGAGGGAGAAGCAGATGAAGTCTGACAACTTGCTGTTGCTTTTGCCGTCTTGGCCAGAGTACCTGAAAAAGAACGCCTCAGATCTACGAAGTATCGACATTTTGCCTAAGGAAAAGATACCTTCTCCATTACTCTGATCTCCCTCTTCCACAGATACGTAGGGCACCTGTTCGAGTTGGTTGCATGGTCTCCTTCACAATTAACACAGGGATGTGGGGAGGCACAGGGATTCGTATTGTTGGTGGATTTGCCGCACTTTACGCAAACAGGGCTTATGGCCATGCATTGTTGTTGGGTATGGCCAAACCTCTTGAAACAATGCAGGGGGTTTAGCACATACTGCCGCATATGGATATTATAAAACTATAGCTATTCCTCTCTGGGAGAGAGGGGAGATTAAACGTCAGGATCACATTGCTACTGCACGAACTCTCCTTACAAAGAAAGCCATCCTGAACATAATCAACAATGCTTCCAAGTACAAATCTATAATCGCTTCTACGAAAAAATGTAAATCCTTGTAAGTACAAGTACACATGCACGATTATTGTGCAACCTTCTTAGTGTCATTGAGAAAAGCAAGAGTCTACGATGATAAAAAAAATGCATATAGCCTATCATAGAAGAAAAACAAAAGGACATATGACATATGTCCGTGACACAGAGCAGTAAAATGAAGTTGACATATCAGGTACATCCTCAGGATCCATAGGAAAGTGTTAACCACACAAAAGGGGAAAAACCAGAAGTTGAAAAAGGGTAAAAAATTTTCAGCGTATGATAGAATGAATAATCCCTACATAAAAATCAAGAACTGATTTCTCATTATATTTCTTCAGTCACACTATATACTCTACAATTATACTTGAATAACCTTAAATTTGACATTGTGTACAAACCTGTTGACCTTTTGTGGGGCTCTGTTGAACAGTCAGAGCCTTTAATGGTGATGTAGATCCTGCAGTAGTTGCTGCAGGTGATGCTACTATTTGTTTTATAGGTGCAGCTATGGTTCCCTTAGCTGCACCAGTGGCAGGTTGAGCTGCACCAGCTGTAGTAGTTGCAGCAGCAGCAGCAGCAGCAATGGCAGCTGTTGCAGGTGCTGCAGCACGTACAACTGGAGATTTTGCACCGGCAGCAACAACTCTATTACCAGCAACCTGCATCAGAAATTGTGCGTGCTTAATGCATAATCTATTTATGAAGACAAAATTCTTATCATAACAAAAAATTGTGGTGTATCAACTTTTAGTTGGACAACACGGAGGTCACACTGGTAAGCAGAATGAGAATTTACTCAGAGAATTTGTAAGCTACAATCATCTGTGAATAATTATCTTGTTCTTTAATCAGCAGTTTTCGCAATATTGCCTCTGGCAGGTATCAGCTGTTGACGGTTTCATCCAATCGGGAGCTTGAATGTCATAGTAAGGATGTCATTATGATGACATTCAAGCTCCTAATTGGATGAAACCATCAACAGCTGATACCTGCCAGGGTCAGCGTCGCATAAATTGCAGTATAGGCATAAGAATAGCCAAACATACTGGCTGGACTTGTGAGAACACGCTAAACTTCATAGTTTTAAAAATGAAAATAACTTCAGATTGAATCCCAATTTTAAACGATCAGCCCTTAATCATTTAAGAATGATATGCCTTTGTAAGAATGGACCTTCATGGATACATCAATAGGCCCATTATTACAGGCAGGAAGTTTGAGGTCAAGCTTCTGGAACGAAGTGTGAAAGTGAAGACTTGGAATTTTAGGAAAAGATGCTACTAGTCTGTATGATGTTTGGTGGTCTGAGTACAATAATGCTCGCCGCAATGGAACATCCAATTCTGACAATTTCACATCATAATAACCAAACAGTCGCCTCTCTTCGGCTAAGATATGGTTATCCAATTTGAGCCACGAGACATTCAATACAATTTGTACGCTAGCCAAGTGTGCTAATATGATTTCCCGCGTGATGAATAGTATTTAGAGGCCGTAACATTGAAAATGATGCTGAGCCATATAAAACAATTTAATACAGCAATAGTCAAAAACAGATTGAATAAGTGCCCTATACAATTGGTACCCCATGAGATACCACTAAAGGTGCGTGGTGGTTTAATGGTGACAAACATCAACACTGCAGATTGCAGGTATGATTTCGCCATGTCAGACTTTTGTCTAATGTCAAGACCGAGAAAGGAAGCTGCGTCACAAAAGGGAGTTGAGGGCCTCCAAAGAACAGATCTGGGCGATTGTGGAGGTGATACAGAAGTCCTGGCAAAAGGAGAGCACTAGGATTTTGAGCCAAACTTAAAACCAGTTTTTGTGCTCCAATCATTCAGTCTATTTAGAACGAGTTGTAGTTGCCTTTCAATAACTTCATATTCTTGGATGAAACGAATGTGGCCAAATTTTTAACATCAAGTGATCCGTTTACATGCTCTCATATGATTGTCGTTGATTGCAATGACAAACTGAGTGATGCTCAAAATTGGGAGGGAACCTATTGATCCTTTTCAATTATCGTTTCGGCTCACAGAGCTTGGTAGCGCAGCAATTGTTCCACCAGGATACAGGAGGATGTTGTGATTGGCGTGTCATTCTCGGTGTGGAGGTGTATGCAGCATCGATGAAGTGGGCAGCGATAAAATCAATGTCATTGGGACAATGAGCCAATATCACACAATCAACACGCTGGATTGACCACTGGGGCGAGCAAGCAACATCAAGATCAGGCACATTCAAGTGGACAAGAGAATTGGAAAGTGGTTGTTTCTATGGAGGACCTGCCGGGCAGTTCATTCTACAATCTTAAGCAGGAAGCTAGATTTATATGTTTACAGAAATGGCATCACAAAGATCATTCAGAATCCAAAAAATTAAGTCAGGGATATTCCGAAGTACCTTCCATGAACAAACTCCATGTCTATTCCCATAATGACAGAGGCTTGCAAACGAAAATTGTAGATTTGCAGAAATCCATCTGTTCTCCCATCGTTGATTATGACATTATTATCTTGAGCAAGACATGGCTCAATGAGTTTCTCTGATGAAAAAACTTCAGATGAATAATTACACTATTTTTCATCGAGATTGTGTGATCACTCCAGCACATATGAACGAGGAGGAGTTGCTCTCATTGCAGTCAGAGATTCCTTGACTTCATTTCTGATTACTAAAGACATTATAAACATATTTTTGTTAAAATTTTACTTAACAGGGACTGTCTGATTGTTGGGGTCTTACATTATCCTCCATGTTCCAATCCATCATTATGACACATATGCTCACGATCTTCTACATGTTGCTGAAATGAATCCATCTGCTTCAATACTCTGGAGCGGCGATATCAACCTTCTGGGACTTGGCAGAGCACATTTCAGCTATATCTTTCCGACACTTTACTTTTACAATGCCATTATTACATCCAGCGAACTGTGATTGGAATCCTACATATGTTTACGATTTTTAAAATGCTGATCATATAACTATTTGTTCTGAACTTAATCTGATTGATTGGAGTTCCTGTTTTAGCAACATAGATATTAATACAAATGTCGATATCTTTTGTAATATTCTTTATTCATTAACTGACTGTCATGTTACAGTGACGCTAATTTTTGGTAGCTCTAACCCAATCTGGTATACCACAAAACTCATCCATCTCATCCGTGGAAAACAAAACAAAACATAAAAGACTACAAATCATCAAAATCAATGAAAATTATGTATGTTGATGAAAATTATCTATTCTTCTAATATCAATGTTGGAATCGTTTACGTTATACCACTAATCACAACCATGTCCTACGTAATATGCACCATCAGGATATTCATTGTACAGAATTGAGCAACACTATCAATTTTTGCACAATACTTTAGGAATCTGTTTTCCAACTCCACATCATCTCTTCCGGCATTTTCTCCAGTTTCGGTTGTCAAGGACCCTTTCATCGACAATCTTCAATTACAATGGTGTGATATCTTTAAGATGCTTGGTTCTTTAAATCCAAGGAAGGGTCCAGGACTAGATCTCATACTTAATCTGTTTTTGTCACATTGTAGATATGCCTTAGTGAGCCCCATTATTCTTACTTAATCAATCCCTCGGATGTGGGTCTTTTCCTGAAGTTTGGAAGAAGAGCAAGATTATCCCTGTTCAGAAAAAATGCGATAAATCTGATGTGACGAACTACTGCTCTATTTCCGCCTGAAGCACCATCTCTAAGCTGTTTGAAAAACTAGTGTGCATTCATCTTTTGAGCCTGTACTCTCAAACTGCCAGCACAGATTCAGGGAGGATAGGTCAACCAGTACAAACTTGATCATATTAAAAAAGGTCTTTAATGATTTGCTCACTGATGGCTCTCAAATTGATACATACTACACGGATATTGCTAAGTCTTAAAACCGGGTCCATCATATGGTCTTAATCCATGCACGAACCAAGATTGAATTGAATTGAATTGAATTGAATTAATGCCTTATTTTACGCAGTGAGACTCGGGCCATCAGGCTCGTTCTTCCATCTGATCTCACAAATTTCGCTATGCTCCTTTTACCAACTAGCGGAGAAAGGAGGTATTCCTTGGGTGACAAAACAGGCCATTTGAATTTACCTCAAAGGTGTCATTTAGGCTTGAGGATCTTTTACATGTAAGTAAATCTCTTAACATGGGACAGCTGGCAACATCGGGTTTGAACCCGCCAACTTGGGTATAACAGTTCGATATGCTAACCATTACACCATCGCTGCCGCCAAGGGTGATCCGCTCCTTTTGTGGATCAATTTTTATTTGTATAACAGACTGCAGTGTGTTTCTTTGAATGGTATCCATTCCGACTCTTACTGTGTACCATCTGGAGTCCCTGAGGGATCTCACCTGGAGACCCTTTACTTTACAACTTAGTTATCAATGATTTCCCTACAGTCTTAAAACACAGCAATATCCTTGTTTTTTTTTTTGCTGACGGCTCTACGATTTATCGTTTGATAGTCGATACTGTAAATGCCATCAAGTTGCAACTTGATTTACTAGCTGTCGAAAATTGGTACGTTCTGAACGACGTATTATTGCACCCTGACAAGAGATATACCATTAGCTTCTTCAGAAGGCAGGTCACTTAACTTTCCATATAGACTCAATGAGAGGATATTGGCTGCCGTTGACAGCATCAAAGACCTTGGAGATATCTTCGACAGTAAACTCAATTTCAATGACAATAACGGTACTCTTAACATAGTTCTGAGATCCCTGGGCTTTATCCTGCGAAATTCATCTCAATTTTGATCCCTACACAATCAAACTTCTCTAACTTGCTGGTAAGGCCCATTCTCAAGTATGCCTGCCTGATTTGATCTCCCTTCACCAGGAAGGTTGAAAATCACCTTGAGAAGGTCCAACACAGGTTGAGGTGCCACTTAGCATTTTGCAATGGATGGCCTATTCCACAGTTCTGTCACAACTACACTAATTACTACTGATTGTATAACATTCCTCACCTTTGGGACAGAAAAACAATCTGCAACCTTATCTTGCTATTGAAAATTTTGTGGGTCAAATTAATTGCAATGATTTTCTCCCTATGTCGGATTTCGTGGCCCCTCCGTGACGACTCGTAACCCCTTATTATTTTCTGTCTAACATGTGAAAGTTGACTATCAAATGAATGATACCTTTTACTATATTGCCTCTACTGCTAACAAGTAATGTAAACAAATTGAATTTTTCAACATTACTTACTCAAGCTATGTACGCACTATCCGAGAATTGCTATATGTAACCACCTGATTTGTAATAAAGATATTGTTCCTAAATTTACTCTTTGTGATTTCATTAACAAATGTGTATCTTGTACTCCTATATTATAATTACATGTATTACAAGAAATATCCTGTAAACAAATATATAAATTAAAGTTGTATCTGCATGTGTTTAAGGGTAAGGGACCTCTCTAGCAGAACCTTTCTGCATCCCAGACGGGACTGTTAACATTATCTCCAAGAAGAAAATGCAGGGGCAGTTGAGAAGAGAGTCGCAAGGTCTTCTTGCAACTCAGCTTGTCCAGGAAGGATACAAACATTGCCAATGGTTATCGAGACAGTATGGAAATTCACGAACAGATGCTTAAAAACTGGTTCGCATTACTTTCTTTGGACTCCAGGGAGTCTTTGACAAGAGAGTAGCGATTCCACCATGGGCATGGAGGCCATCATTGTCTTACCTGTAAGAACAAGAGATGCAAAGAGAGAGGAAATGCTCAGGAAGAAGATGAGTTTCCTGAAGGCTGATATCAGGCATACATCAAAATCACCTTCAATTGGTCTAAATGAGTACAAAAGCCATTGCAATTCCACGGGAGGAGAGCTATGATATTTGTATTAAGTTTCTTCTTTTTCTTCATTGATGCTTTTCCATGAGAGTTGACACTCTAGTGCGAGTTCTCCTCTGGAGTAAGTAGAGTTATCTTGACTGCTGTTGGAGAGACGCCTGTGATGAAGTTCCTTCCTTACCTCTGGTCACCCTTGGATTGGATCCTTGTGAAGATCCTTTTAAAGTGGATTGGACACCAGAAAACTGTGGGCGGGTGGAGTTCAATGCAAACTTCATTCCCAAGGGCCAAAATGTGGTCGGGGGAACTTCAGTATCTGTGATCAGGTCATCAGAGGAAACCTAGCAGGATATATTGAAGACAGAAGTGGCAAAACCTTTTGGGTCTGCGTTATGCAGCTGGACATCTTCAGTTGATCTACAGTGTTTGCAAAACTTTGAGCCATATTGACAGGGTTACACATCTGAAAAATGTCATGCCTCCTCTGATGCCCAGACCTTCTGAATCTCCCTTTCCTTCGGACATGGGGCCATGGTTTGATTAAAAGATAACTGGCAAAAGAAAGGAATACTTGAGAGCCCTCCCTGCATCCCCTGTCAGGACAAAGACCTACCCACCTCAACAGGCACATATTACTATCGAACACTGGTACCCACCCTAGGCAGCAGACTTCAGACTCGGAGATAAAAATGTCTCAATTCTGGTGGGACAACGTAGAAAATAAGAGTATGCTGTATCTGCTACAATAAAGTTTTCCCATGAAATTGTGTCTTCTTTTTGTTGACCACCTTAGGAAACATCCAACCTGGATGCCCTCATATAATTGCTTAAAAATGCACTTTTAGCTCCTTTAATCAATTGGGTGAGACACAAATTATAAACATCAAAATGACACCTGGCAACACACGAGTTTTATTGGTGCATTCAGATCTAAATTTGATACATCACAATTATGCTAAAATTCCTCAGAAAAAATGAACTTTTACTTCTGAATAAAATCTGATGTCCTAGAGCATATCTTTAAATGAGGGGATGATCATTTTTTTTAAAAATACAAATAGTTTTCATGATTTTTGTTTTAAGATTTTCTCAAAAATGGCCTAGTTGAATGCTAAAAGTTCTGTATAACATGACATAAACTTTATTCCGATATATTATTTTAATTTCCTCAAATTACACCATTACAATTGGTTTTAAGTATCGATTACATCATTAAAAAAACAACCAAGTGTAAATATTGAACATCAATGCATTTGTGGGCTCAAGTGCTTTCAATAACTTCCAACAAAATTTCTCAGAGTCAAATTTCTATGAAAATGAGCTCAAAATTGTGCTTTTTCAGAAATAAATAAAAGGAGGGCAATGAAACCAATAGGAAGATATACCTGTTGCTGAGCTTGAACAGGTTGCACTTGTGCAGTATTCAACACGTGTAACTTTCCATCTGGCATTTGTACCAACTGTTGCCCAGGAAGCAATCCTCGAACTTGAATTTTACCATCAGGACCTTTTAAGATCTGTACCCTCTGCTGAGGCTGTGGAGCATCTGTGAGTAGAGATTAAATTTAAGAAAGAAAATACGGAAAATGAAACTGAATATAAAGAGATAAAATTTTTTAAGAAAAGTGAAAGGAATCAAAGAAGAAAAAGGAAGAGCAACAAATAAAGAAAAATTATTTTTTATTGATTTTAATAATTTATTGAATTTCACAATCTGAGGAAATATTTTGCAAGCATACCATTATTTTATGAAGTAATAAATCAAATTAAAGCTAAACTTACTTTGTTGGTTGGCAGTCTTTGGCAATATACTAGTGGGGCCTGTAACAACTCTAGTCGTGCCATCAGCTCCTTCACAAAACATTTTTAAATAAAAAAACATATTACAGTCAATTTATATTTTGCTTACTTCCTATTGCCACACATTCTTACCCTTTGTCATAAAGATCCGACGAGTTCCCAAGAATGCTTTGCCTGCAGAGTTGTTTGATGCATTGGTAAGTAAAGAAGTGAGTGTACTTTTTCCACTAGCCTGTCCTCCAGGAGAAGCTGGGATTGCCACTTTCGTAACCATCTTTAGAGTACCATCTTGTTGCACTGTAAATGAAAATTGTATGAGGTTACTAAACAATCAGAAAATGAATTTACAAGCACATTACTTCTGATGATTAAAATATAATTGTATTTTCAATCACTCTCCTTACACCCCCCATACATTCATAAACACACACAAACATTCACAAGTTTGTTATAATAGATTATCATTTTTCAAGAGTCAAATCTTACTTTGCTGGGTGGTTGGAACCACTTTCAGAACTTGACCCCCAGGAACTTTAAGAGATTCCATAGCCCTCTTCTGTTGATGAGCAGCTCTCTGCATTCGCAGTTGCTGCTCCATTTTTTCCTTAATTTCTTCAGGGGTTGCTTTGCCACTAACAGTTTCGAGTTTACCTCCAGCTGCATCAGCACCCGTTGTCTTGGGGGCCAAAGAGCCCGACCTACTCCTAGTAACAACTTGGGCATTAGCCTTCTCTAACCTGTGAGGAGAAACAGGCCACAAAGAGGGAACTGGTGTTAGCATAGTGTGGCTGCATGCAGAGACAAGGTAAATTGCGCATCATGGTGCAGTCAGGATCAGACTGGTGATATGGGCTGCCTGCAGGCAGGGCTTACAAAATGTACATTTTCAATAGAAGAAGCAACAATTCCATGAATTCATTCAACTAATGACATCCTGCTTACATCACAACATTATAAAACAATAAAAATTGAAAGTACTCCAGAGTATTATATTTTTAAATTAATGAATTTGAAATTTTCCTATGGCATGTAACTTAAAAGGTTTTCATAAAACTATGAATATAATTTATTTTTCAATATAAATTATATCAATTAATAAACACGGCAATAACATGGGCAACAAGAATTATTTGTTCTCCATAAACAATTAAACTTCAATTTATGGTAATAATTGCCAAGACACAGGCTATAATATGTCTTCTGAAATAGGGAACGGTCATCAAAGTTTGAAATTGGAAATAATTCTTCTCCAGCTCAAACACAAAGGAAAAGTATTGATAACAATCATTGTATCTGAAATCATTTTGACAGTTTATGAGACTGTAGATGTCTGGCCACTACATATTTTTTTATTCCTTTTACATAAATTCATTTCCTGATTCACAATTTCAGGGAAGGATTTTTCGGCTCTTAAAAAAGTTCAATACAAAAATGCTGCATTATATTAAAACAAAAATGTGTACCTCCAAATATTGAAAGTGGAGAAAACAATCAAGGAAATTATCTCAAGACACTGAACACTTTGCCATCTGGAATGTAGGCGTGTGTAAGTTAAGAGGATTTTGAAGTACCCACAAACTACTTGTTTGTTTCCTCAATAATGTAAAATATTTCGATCATTCTACAAAAATTCTCTAATGTAGGCCACACAAACCAAAAACTGGTCAAAATTCAGGTCCACAAAAATACATAAAAATTAATTTTTTGGTGGTTGCCTTCAATTTATTTGGCCATTTTTTAAAAATCAAAATGGCCTAAATGTGTGTTATATGTCTAAAAAGTGTCTACCCCAATTATATAATTACAATCACATTTCTTATTTTAATTTAGGTAGATAATGATTATTATTAATAACCTTTCAAGGAATTTCAAGCTAGGAGCACTGTGACCATTTTATCTTGTTATAACACAACTATTCAGTTTATATTCAATTTTATTTGCTTAAAAGTAAACTTTTGACAGTAAAAATGTCTCAATAAAGGATCTCCAACATCATAGATCTCCAATATCATAGTGGAGGCATAAACATCACCTGCTTCAGTGGGCGAAGGACAGGACTGAAATTAATTTAGGCATAAAAAGTGACAAGCAAAACAAAAATGTGAATGAAAGACTGAAAGGTGAGAGAATTAAGATCCCATGCATTATTACTGTTTTTTATAGCCTTCATAAAACCAATAAAAAAATGCATGCAGGTTTTACACCATACAAGATCAGGAATTAATTAGATTTTCCCACATTAATAACATCATTTCAACAATGGTAATGGTAGAAAAGAGTAAATAGAAAGAAACAATGAAAATGACTACAAGCACGAAAAAGGCAATAGCACCCATGACTCACTATCAACACACACAAAACATTCAACATAAAAACATTATAAGACTACCCATAAAAAAATTGTAACCAAAAACATCATGCAATTAGAGTTGCAAAGGATAATGAAAGGAAATGATATAATAAAGATGCAAAAAGGATGACAATGGGAAACTCTAGAAACTGAATTAAAACATATCTAAAAGAACACATCCAAGATAAATAACTTAAATCTGTAGAAATGAATTATGAGATAATTAAAGCAGAATAGTAGAAAGTAAAATGGAACATGATGAATCAACATAAAAATCCAATTATTATACATTTAATTATGAATGCAAATTCAATGACAAGAAAGTAATGAATTGAAGTCCATTCACATTTTACTCCACTTTTAAACAAACATAAATGATTGCATTTGTTCTTATTTGCAGGACTTCAAACTCCTTTTTAGAGAGTGCCAGTGTAGATAAATTCCTTTGATAGAGGTAAGTAGTTATTTACTGTATAGATCTACAGTTCTCTTGAACTTTGGAAATTGTTTAGAAAAGTGTTTTATATTTTTAAGTATTGTAAATGAACAAAAACCTTGCTGGTAATAACCCTGGATGAACTTGGATAAAGTGGATCAATTCTTCTGCTTTTGCAGAGCGAAAGTTAAGTTACAAGGTGATGATACTGAAATCTGATGAATTCTAGAGTGAAGAGATTTGTGTGCAATTTGTGTGAATGTGTGCATTTCCTATTTCATTAAACATGATGTGCTGAACTTTGCTTGAGGGCTTCGGGGCCCTCTGAACAACATATCATTGCATCATGACAAGTGCTATACCTTTATGTTTTCCAGAGCGCGGGACACTAGTTTTCCATAAAGACTCAATGGGAGGATATTGGCTGCGGTTGACAACATCAGAGACCTTGGAGTTATCTTCAACAGTATACTCAATTTCAATGACATTAATGGTATTGTTAACAATACTTTGTGATTTCCGGGTTTTATCCTAAAAAACTCATCACAATTTCAATCACTACACATGATCAAACTTCCCCTTATCTTGATCGTTTGATTCATTCTCTAGTATGCATTTTATTTCATCTCCCTTCACTGGGAAAGATGTAAATCCAACCCCCAATCCCTGTGTATGTCCTACACAGGTTGTTGCATAATTAGCGTTTGACGATGGATGCCCTATCCCACAGTATTGTCGAAAACTCATTACTACTCATTGTATAACATTCCTCGTCTTCAGGATAGAAGAACAATTTGTGACCTTATCTTTCTATTTCAAATTTTGTTGGGTGAAATTAATTGCAACGGTTTTCTCCCTAATATTGGATTTCGAGTTCCTCACGTGTTGACACATAATCCCTCATTAATTTCTGTGTAATGTATAATGTGTATTCTGATACAATTTTACTCATAGTGATTTAATTAACAAATGTGTATCTTGTACTCCCATATTATAATTACATGTATTAAAGGCAATATCCCGTAAAAATAAATAAATAAATAAAAAAAGGTTCCAAAGGTGTCTCTTAGCCGAAAATTATAATATATTTTAGTAAATATTTCGAATAACTGATAATTATAAGAAGCAGTGAAAATTAGAACTGTACCTGTCTCCATACTGCTTTATTTCCCAAAGTTCTAGTTTGTCTTCTTCAACCCATTCTTCAGAAACCTGGGGCTCGGTACTCTGTGGCGACTCTGCCCGTTTGCGTTTTCTTAGACCACTACGAATTGATGTCACTTCTGAAACCAAGTATAAACTTTGTAAACATACTAATAATAATAATAACAACAAAAGAAGAAGAAAAAGAAAAGAAGAGAAAAAGAAAAGAAGAATAAAAAAGAAAAAGAAAAGAAAAATAAAAAAGAAAAGAAAAAGAAAAGAGAAGAAGAAAAAAGAAAAGAAGAATAAAAAAGAAAAGAAAAGAAGAAAAAGAAAAGAGGAGAGTTTTCAAGGAGAAAGAAAAGAAAGAAAGAAAGAAAGAAAGAAAGAAAGAAAGAAAGAAAGAAAGAAAGAAAGAAAGAATAAGAAGAAAGGTGATTCAAAGAAAAAGAAAGGAGATAAAAGATTTAAAGTAGATCAAATGCAGATTTCTTTGGGAAATTTAATCCTACAACGGATGAAGAGAGAGGGAAGTGGTGGTTATTGCACAATCAGGAACTACATACAGTAAAACTTCCCTTATACGTTTTTCAGGGAACAGATAAAACGTTTGAAAGAAACGTATAAATGAAATTGAATCTTATGAGCAAAATAAAAATTCAACATTTTTACATTGGTGCCAGCTCCAATGGCCTTCAACTGGTTTGCAAGACCTGCTGCCAACAATGAAAAGACATGTATGATATGCCCAGTGGAAAAGATCTGATAGTAAGATAGAATAGTTCCACTTTTATTTTGTATTTTATTCTAATCTCATTATGGCTTCAAAATCACACTGTCTGAGATAAAAAAGTCGTGCAGCATCAATGAGTAATGACAGGGCGAGACATTTCTGATGGACGAACTTTGTAGGGAAAAAGATTAGTCGCTAGACCTAGGCTGAGGAAGGAAGATAATATCAAATCAAGGAACTAGGTGTGGAATGGACAGGTGAAACGATAGGGACCAATTGTGAAAAGGCTATAGACTTTCAAGTCCAGAGCAGAAATGAATTACAGCTACACTGTGTATATATTTTGCACTTACATGTTTTTACGCTGTTTTTTGTAGACCCCAGATAAATTCTTATACTTCCCATGCTAAATTATTTCAGATTGTGTTTTCTGTTTATTCGTTTTTCATTCTTATATATTCATTATAAAATTCACATCAAAACTGTGTAACTTTCAAACTATAACAGCAGATGACCAATAAGAGAAAACTATTACACAATTATAGGGAGCCCGAAGAATTTATGTTGAATTCAATGTTCAGGTTGTTAAATTTCTTTGCTAAGCAGGGTGTTTCAACTGGTTTCAACTCTCCATTTTGGAGTTTTGGACAAAACTACAGGATGAAAGGATAGGGGGTTCCAACAAGCATAGGTTTTTCCCTTCAGTTCCCTAAAAAACGTATAAGTGAGGTTTTTCTGTAGTTACCTGTAATAAATTACTGAAGTTGACCAATTTTTTAAGCCTACCTCGAACAGTTTTAGGAACTTCCAGTGGAATAACCACTTTTCGTCTCAGGTACTGTGTTCGGTCCAAGAATTGACCAATATGGCGGTGCTTCAAAATCTCCAAAGACATTATTTCAGTTTCAGTGGTAACTTGGTGTTTGCCATCATTTGATGGAGGTTTGACCTGGTAGGACAATCACATATTAACAAACAAAATCAAGTAGAGTGTTCATACAATTAAATATTTAATATCACAAAAGATGATCTGGGTTTGTCTCTCAAAAGAAATTGTCAGACTGATGGAACATCACGTACGAATTAAAAATTGATTGATTAAAAAACTGAATAATTGATTCTGAGGTAAAGATTGAAAAGGGAAAAAAAAACAACAAAAAACTGCTAAATTAATGTACATATTTCAGCACACACAAAATCAGCCTGAACCCATTAACAAAATAATAAAATTAAAATAAATACACTAATTTTGATGCACATTCATACCACATCATGCTCATGACTGCATTGGCCTTATTGGAGTTATCTGGTAGCATCTGTTAGCAACTTTTATTGCTGAATTGTAGCTACATTACTAAAATATACTAATAAAGAGCTCCAAAACACTGAACTATTGCTTGATTTTCTGAACTAAAAAGGAGAAAAAGAATTGATCTTAGCTGCACATGCCCAGTCAGTTTTCATAGGGATCAACCCGTTTGCTTTACACTGGCCTCTCCCTAAAACTTAACCCTTTAAAGCGGGACCAAGATATGGTGCAGTAGCATTCTAATGTGGGTGAAGTGAAAGGACAGTGTGAATCATTGCAGTAGCAGCAGCATTGTGCATCATTATAACCACATTCTGTCTCCACATGATATCCTACGGTTCAGAGGAAAGTCACCAACGTCTAGCCATCACTCCCTGCAAATGGAGGTTGAACAAATGGGCCATCTGAAGAGGGTATTCTGTGTTGAAGGGTTAACCAACAGCAGACAGAAGCTTAACACAGTTTTAGAAGAAGAGTCTGGCTGTCTCAAATTAACAAAACATTCTAGCCAGGAGCTTACAATTATTATTGTGATCTCTGCTAAATCAATGTCTAGCTTTCAGAAAATTCAAAACTTACTTATGTGATTCGTTTACTATCCATTTGTGTATTAAAATACAAAATTAACAAATAGCAAAAGGAAGAAATATAAGTTACCAAGAAACATTCATTTTAAATTAGGACTCTTGGGTTTTAATTGGATAAAAGTGTTAACTCTCGCATACATTTTCATATTCTTTTCTATTTGAGCAATGGAAATTTATAATAAAAAGAAGTTTATACATTATGCTTACTACTTTAGGGCCTACGCATCCTCAGGCATAGTAAGTTACGTGAACATTTGACACTACTTCCTACAGCATTATAATACTTGCTCTAAATTTCACAGTAGTGTACGAGAAAAATTAAGTATCCATAAAAATACTTTTTTCCTAATGTTTAGATTTCATTATAAAAGTAGAATTAATTATTGTAAATCTGATGACTCAAGTGGAAACAATTTATGCAACAGCCTTTTTGCACTTTTTGCAAAAATTCTTCCCAAACATGCTGGAAAGATGTGGATAAAAACACTGCCACTTGATTAGTCTTGTTTTGGAGGAATTTTATCAGAATGTTCTCAAAGGAATCAGAAAGAATGATCAGCTCTCCAAAGGACCATGAAGCACTGAATGACACTTCACATCCACAAATAGTGGACCAAATAACCTTGCAGATTATCAATTTACTGTATACACAATATAAATATCTTAAACCAAAAAAATGCTGTGTATGAGCACAAACCTTTTCGGAAATAGACGTTTGGTTGTAAGAATGGGAACATGCCAGATGTAAATCAAAAAGGTGTAAAAATGTTCTTTTATTAAGAATTGTTTCAAAATAATAAAATAATATGCATTAAAAATGAAATAAAAATAATAAACAAATGAAGATTTCAACTATGAAGTGTTTCCCTTTTACCATATTCCTTTCGCGAGCTACTAGAAATTACTAACGCCAAAATTATACACATGATACATGTGCAAATTATTAAAATGAACAATAGCAACATTGAAAGAAGATTATTTGTTATAAAAATAAATATTCTGTTGACAAACTGTTCCTATTTTAGGTATTCACTTTACCCAAATGATTTTTATGCATTCACTCAGATTTTAACCTTGTTCTGAGTAAATTAACAATCAAAATAGATCACACTTATTCAGTTATGTTGTATAGTATGAAGAGTTACCTGCATATCATCCCATCTGAGGCAGGTCCAGAGAATTCGTAGCTGCAAAGCAGCAGCAGCCAAAGAACGAAGGTTCACAGTACGGTAAAGCCAGCACGTTTTGAATAGTGGTCGAGAACATGGATAGGGCCAAACTTGATGATTTGCCTGAAAATATACAAAATATTAAATGATTTAAATAACATTAACAAACTATTGGACAATGCAATGGTGTTCTGGTAAAGAAAACATTATGTCAATTAATATTATGTCAACAGAGATAGTAAGCATGTGCGCATGTGCATGTGTGCATGCGAATGATAGTATGCATGTGCATGTGGGTACAAGAGAGAATGTGCACAAGTGAGAGAGATGAGGGAGGACACATGTGCCCATACCCGTGTGTGTATGTGTATGTGTGCACAAGTTAATGTGTGTGCACAAGAGAATCAGTGTGCGAGAGAAGATATCAGTGTGTGAGAGAAGATATCAGTGTGCGAGAGAGGTTATCAGTGCCCGACAGAGGGTAGCTGTGCCCAAGAAAGGGTATCTGACTGAAATAGAATTCTCTAGCAGGTCTGCAACATAAAATGATTTTATAAACAATAGGAAATCATGGGAAAAAGTATGCTGTAGGCTGAAGACAGCGAAAGAAACAAAATAAGAATTAAAGACAGGATAGGGAAGTCAAAATCAACAACCGGTATTGAGATTATACATTGAATCTATTAGAAGGAGATCACTGACTGCAACTAACCTTTGCTTGGTGATTATACCCTAAAATGGATAAACGCCCACCTAGGCGTGCCAATTTGCGTAACTCATGCTGCGGCAGAATTAGCATGTTTCTTTTTTTGCTGCGAGTCTGGAACGTTGAACACAATGGATATTTCACTGGAGTCCTTTTCTTCCGCCGATCAGCAAGCGAAGCTGAAACTTTCTTTAAATACACTTTTCCTCTTGTGTCTGTGGTAGAGTACATCCTTTTCAACTCTCCGCTTTCTGTTTTAATAGAAGCCTCTTGAGATTTGGAAGCTACTACACTACCAGCTTGAATCACAGTTTTTTTTGTTGGACCTCCAGATTCAGATTTTATATGGACAGAAGCAATTTCACTTGCAGATTTCAATTTTGAAGATGTAAGAATAGAATTGAGCAAACCCCTGAAACAAAGCAAAACATCACATGTGATTAGTGGCCCTTCTGTCTGGAAACAGTAAACACTTTTTGCAGATCACCCTACCACATAGCCCTGGCCAAATATGAGACTGAAGACTTTTTTTGGAGAGGGGTCGAATTTGTTACTAAGGTACCTATAGATAGGTACGAGTACCTATCTATAATGAATTTATTTGCACCAGACAGTAACTTTAATTTTTTACAATCAATACAAGGTGGGTTCTGATGTTGAAAGTTGTCATTACTAATCCAACAGCCTATTTCTTCACTATTCAGTGACTGCCTACCTACCAGCTGCTTGGGCAAACTAACTCACTTAGCGTCACATAGGTTTGAGGATGTTGCAAGTTTCAAATAAAAGAGATCTGTGGATTAGTGTCAAATATCGTTAATACATAATAAAATTTATTTTTAGACGACCTAAAGGTGCTTTAAAATAGTTATCATTTCCACTCTTTAAACAATATTAAAATTACGTAATTGTAGAAATATTTTGAAGAAGCAAGGTATTGTTGTACCACTAGTTTCTAATTATTCAATAGTAATGAACTTAAGTACGAGTGCCTATACATGGGGTAATTTGGAAAATAACATGTCTTTCAACATCAATAAAATGTTGCGAAGTAACAATTTAGATCATAAGTGCATTCTTACATGTTTAGGTCATTGAAATCTCAACTTATTGAAACTGATCAATTCGCAGATCAAGCTATCATTTCAAATGAACCGTCATTCTATAGTGTAAATGACTATGCACATGCCTCCCTACCAACAGATACATAGAATCCTTCTCATCAGGGCCTTATATCGCAAACCTTTATACTGTGAAAATCATAGCTTTCTATTTCCTTTGGTCTCTGCTAGCTATTTAGACTTGCCACAAACTCTTGCCAGCTGCCATCTACCGCAGCCCAAAGTACATTTTTTTGATATTTTCTCCCCCCCCCCTTCTTTCCCTTCTTCCTAATAGTAAAACGGATATATTATTTTTAAAAACATTAAAGAACAGTACAACTTCGTCATAAATGGCGTTTAAGCACTACTATAAATTTGAAAATTTTTGAGTTTCAAAAAACTTCATTGAAAGTCATTTGAAGCACTTTTAACTCACAAATATAATAGTGTTTACAAATTGCTGAAAATGGGTATATTGACGGCGTGAGATCTTTCAAAAATATTACATTTGTATAATTCTTTATATATATATATATATATATATATGTATATATATATATATATATATATATATATATATAAATAAAAACAACCAAAACGTGCTAACATGTTTAATTTGATATAAGTCTATCTTTAATTTGTGAGGTGTAGGAAGACGTCAGAAATAATTTATTGTTTCTGTTTAAATGTTCGAAAATTCAGAGTTAAGCATTAAAATCAGACCTATGCCACCATTATATGTGCATTTTATTCTATTCTTACAAGACATTTACAGAAAAAAATGGAGAGTTTGAAAAACTTTTGAAAATTCCCAAAATTTTGGAAAATACTCCCCCCCCCAAAAAAAAATCCCAAAACTTCGACTAGTCAGATGAGCAGGGGTTTCTACACTTAGAAACAATTCTTATACATAGGCGCTAGTGGTGTTCACAGACGGACAGAGAGACAGATGGATGTTTTAAAAAACCATTTCTGTATCAGGAGATCCCAAACATGCATTTCCGTAGAAATCTCGAAATTGATTTTTCGAGCTTTATGTAACTTTCTGTACACTATGCGTATTATTCCTTATATACACATGTATAAGAGAAAGTAAAAACTTTTCAAAATGTGTAAGTTGCTTTTACCAGTGTGCTAAGGGATAATTCACTCAGGAAATATAGACTCACCATTACTAAAGAAAAGGGCCATTAGTCACATTTAATACTTGCAACTCAGACAATTGTGTAGAAACTACTATAGAGAGAATAACATTGTGACTGAAGCAGCACTGTATTCATACAGAGTAATATTATTAACAAAACTAGTGGAGCAGCCAAAGCACATACTTTTTCGCATTGTTTCTAAATGATCTGCAACATTATACTACTACATAAACCTACAAAAAGGTTTTCAAGCAGCAAATTATTTTTCCACTCTGACACTCGAACTCAAATACTCCGAGTTAATGTGCAGACACATACCACTACACCACAGAAGCACCATATGGGTCAAACTCTAGCACAGGTATAAAAAGATCAATGCCTGATCCATGTAAAAAAAATCAACACTTATTATCTGATATTTACAGTACATATGTATGATTATTATTGAAAGCTATTTCAATATTTAATGTTATAAAATTTCTTCTAAATATTTCCATATTTATAGAAAAAAAATTACCTACTTCCTGAAACATTTATTTTAGAAGCAATGAAATTGATGAGTATGTGATAAAATTTACAACTAAATGACAGTCACATTACTGTGAAACAAAACCAACGAAAATATTAAAGATTTTCTTAATCTTATTATTTGCTAGTTACACTAATGAAATTGAACATTTATTCAAAAGTTATCAATAAACAATTTTTTTTGCGCATGATTTTAGTGTACCTCATAATTAATGGAAATATGGTGATTCCAGAGAACATTGTAATTTCCACAAGTTTGGTAGTGAAATCCTTGTTAGCTCTGACAGCTAGCACCGTCCATCAATTATTTAAATTTAACTCAAATAAATAATGTAAATAATCATGGAAAACTTTTGATTAAATGTTTGCGATTATGCTGATTGCTCTGTATTGGAATCCACTTCACCGATAATTGCCTACAACTCCTATCATGCATCTCTTAGGTGTACATTTTTTCTCTTAATGTAAACATTAAATTTATGAATGTATTGGATTATGGGTATAGTTTGCACTGAGCTGACTAGAATGTGGGTGTTAATAATGATTTGATATCACTTTGTTGGATAACATTCTATTCCAAAAATTCACTTCAAACATCCTAATCTTTTCTTTACGATGATTTGTATATAATAAACAAGTATGTTTCAAAACAAATTATCCTCACTCCTTGATAGCCACCATGGTATTCAAATGAGCACCAGTTATTATTGAGAAAAAAAAATTATGCTCACTGTATTATAAAAGTTTCTTTTACATTACAAAACATTTTCAGACATTCAGAAACATAAAAGGAAAGCGAGAGAAGACTATAATGACTATATTAAACTTAAATGACAGAAATATGTCCTTTAAAATTTATTCATTTAATTTATGGAAGCAGCAACAAGCTGAGGTACACATATTTGTTACAAAATATTGACGTATTTGTATGTTATTATAAAATAAAAGGAAATATAAAATCTATTTCTTTTATATCACAGTTTGATGTAATTATAATAAATTAATCCGATAATAAATAAATATGCATACACACATACATACATACATACATACATAGTGCTTCTGAAAGCCATCGAGTGCTATTGGAAACTTGTGGCAAACAATCTCTGTCGATAACAATGTGTTTCGAAGTTTTAAAAGTGGTGTTTTCGATACAATTGACAGAGAACACCTAGGTCAACCAAAAAAGTTCGAAGACGCAGAACTGGAAGAATTACTCGACCAAGATTCATGTCAAACTCAAGATGAACTTGCTGAATCTTTGAACGCTGATCGCACAACCATTTCTAAACGTTTAAAGGCTCTACGTATGATTCAAAAGCACGGAAATTGGGTGCTATACGAACTGAAGCCGAAAGACATTGAACGCTGATTATTCACCTGTGAACAATTGCTTCAACGCAAAACCAGGACAGGATTTTTGCATCGGATCATCACTAGCAATGAGAAGGATTCGGTACGATAATCGTAAGCGGAAAAAATCATGGGGTTTGCCTGGTCATGCATCGACATCAACGCCAAAACTGAATATTCATGGTGCAAAACTTATGATCTGTATTTGGTGGGACCAGCTCGGTGTTGTGAATTACGAACTGCTTTAATCGAATGAAACAATCACTGATGAACGCTACTGAACACAACTGATGCGTTTGAGCCGTGCATTAAAAGAAAAACGTCCACAATTCGAGTAAAGACATGATAAAGTGATTCTTTAACATGACAATGCACGACCACATGTTGCTTGTGGAGTGAAAAAATATTTGGAAACTTTGAAATTGGAGGTTTTACCCCAAAAGCCATATTCACCAGATATTGCTCCATCCAATTACTACCTGTTCAGATCCATGGAACACAGCCTGGCTACGCTGCGCTTCCAATCTTACGAAGATACGAAAGGTTGGATTGATTCGTGGATTGCATCAAAAGATGAGTTGTTCTTTCGACGCAGAATCTGTATGCTACCAGAAAGATGGGAGAAAGTAGTGGCTAGCAATGGACAATACTTTGAAACATAATAATGTATTCAGGTGTTCATAATAAAGCCTTAAATTTATAGAAAAAAAACTCAAAATTAATTCACACGTCTTGGATATACACACACACATACACATACATGATTATGATATCAGGTTGGACATCAACTTCTAGTAAAAACTGATCAATCTTTGGAAATAAGAGATGAGATATTAATGTACATAATTATTGGATTTAGTCCAACCATGCTCACTGCTGTTTTAATTCATTTCCCTGTTTGGGCACAATCTAGGAGTTTCCTCTAACATATCTAATAACTAAGTTTAGGTTGGTTTTCTGTCTACCAATCAATTTTGCTTTAAGATCTTTCAACACGTTTCTCTATAAGTGTTAAATCATTATTTACTCTCAACTGCTGAGGTAACTTTGTGATAATCCTCAAAATATCTTTAGCAATATGTACATCTTTCATAACTAACTTAATTGGCCGGGGATTTTTGAGATTTCTCTGTACAAATTTACCCAGTTTGTGATCTGCAATATGTGTTTATCGAAATCAATTCCTTCAAGCTCAAGTTTGCATGAAGCGTCTCTGACTATCTGTCTGTCATGACTACTACACTCTTTTGCTTCTCAGGAATTCACTTCCTTTACCCCATAAA